AGGGCTTAGTCGGGCTGCGCCGTCCGCGCCCGCTCGCCCTCCGCGCACTCCCTTCGTGCGCGATTCTCACCTCACCTCCGCGTATCTCGACCGTCGCTCGAGATCGATTGATGCCTTCGAGCTGTGGTTAGCAGAACACACTGGCGTGCCACCCGCCACACTTTACCGAAGCGGGATACTTCTCGCCCGTTTCCTCGCGACCTTCGGCGTGTGGCTTCATGATGCAGGTTTCCCTCATTATATTCTGGTCCATGCCATCTTAGGAATCCAAAGCGCCCATCCGCATTGGAAGGCCTTTCTGACAGAAGCTTGGGACGTAGCGAAACAATGGAAGCTTGCGGAGCCGCCAAAGCTCCGTCCCCCCTTGCCACGCGCGCTGCTGCGCGCCATGGTCGGGCTCTGTCTCGCCTGGGACTGGCCTGTGATGGCGGCGCTGCTGCTCATGGGCTTCACGATGTTCCTCAGGCCTGGCGAACTGCTGGCGTCACGCCGCTGTGACTTGTCGCTTCCATGCGACCGTCTCGAAGTTGAAGGGGGTGCTTTTCTTTCGATTCTTGTTCCAAAGACCAGAAGAACGTACCCGACGCAACATGCTCGCTGCTCCGATCGGGGCACGGTGAAGATATTGAATCAAGTGTTTGGGAGGTTGGCTTCCACCGATCCTCTCGCCCCCTTCGGCGCGAGCGGCTTCCGTACTCGGTGGAATCATCTGCTTTTGGCTCTGGGCGTCCCTCTTGCCAAAGCAGGTCAGGGGCTCAACCTGACGCCCGCTTGTCTGCGGGGCTCTGGCGCAACAGACTTCTACATCGCTACGGAAGACGTCCCCCGCGTCTTCTGGCGAGGGCGCTGGCGTCAAGCTTCCAGTGCCGAGCGCTACCTGCAAGCCGCCGCCGCCTCCACAGTTCTTGCTGCGCTGCCCGAGCACGCACGGGCTCGAATCTTGTTCTTCGCCACCGCCAGCGACCGCCTTGTCGCTTCGTTCCTCCAAGTCGGCCCCGCCGCTTGGCCTGCCCTGCTTGCGGCCGCCCGCCAAAACCTTGTCACTTCGCAAGGTCCTTGAGCACGGGTATGGCTGCCTCGCCGACATCGGCGACCAGACGGGCTCCACCGTCTGACGCGCGGCGCCCCGGCTTGAGCGCGCGGGACGGGCCTGCCCATTTTGGGCCGCCCCGCGCGCGCACGCCGCGGCCGCGCTCGGAGACAGCTCGCTAGCGCGCGAGCGGGAGAATGCTTCTTCTATTCTCTGTGAGCAAGCTCCTGCTGTCTCCGCAGCTTCTCTGCCCCCCTCCCTCCTCTCCCAATCTAAGGCTGATGGGCGCTGCCTCGCCGTCGACGGCGAGCAGGCGGACTCCCCCGCCTGACGCGCGGCGCCCCGGCATGAGCGCGCGGGACGGGCCTGCCATTTTGGGCCGCCCCGCGCGCGCACGCCGCGCCGCGACTCGGAGACAGCTCCGCTAGCGCGCGAGCGGTAGAATATTATGTTCTGATGATGCTGCTGATGCTCTTGGCATGACTTCGAAATGTGTGCGCGCATTGTATGAAAGAATGATTATGATGATGATGATGATGAGGACGACGACGATGATGATTATGACGACGATGCTTCTGATGATGCTGCTGATTCTTCTGGTGATGCTGATGATGATGACGATGATGAAGATGATGACGATGATGATGATGCTGCTGCTGATGATGCAGATGATGATGAGCATGACCATGATGCTGCTGATGCTGATGCTGATGATGAGGATGATGACGCTAATGCTGCTGAGGATGATGATTATGACGACGATGACGATGATGATTCTGATGGTGATGATGCTGCTGCCGATGATGATGCTGCTGATGATGATGCTGATGATGATGATGGTGATGATGATGATGCTGATTATGATGGCTGGATGATGATGACGATGATGATGCTGATGATCATGATGATGCTGATGATGAATGATGATGATGGTGGATGTTTATGATAGTGCTGCTGTTGAATGATGCTGATGACTGCCTGATGCTGATGCTGATCGGATGCCCTGATGCTGATGCTGATGCTGATGCTGATGCTGATGCTGATGATGATGATGATGATGATGATGCTGATGCTGATGATGATGATGATGATGATGATGATGATGATGATGATGATGATGATGCAAGAACTGAGCTGCCGTGGGTGGGGGTGCCGGGGCGAGGTGGGGGGTGTCGGTCGGGACCAGTTTGGGGGTGTCGGTCCGTTTTGGAGGAAAAATCGTGGGGTCGAGGGCCCCAAGAACAGAGCTGCCGTGGGTGGGGGTGCCAGGGCGAGGTGGGGGGCGTCGGTCGGGACCAGGTGGGGGGTGTCGGTCCGTTTTGGGGGAAATATCGTGGGGTCGGGGGTCCCAAGAACAGAGCTGCCGTGGGTGGGGGTGCCGGGGCGAGGTGTGGGGTATCGGTCGGTTTTGGGCGAAAAATCGTGGGGTCGGGGGTTCCAAGAACACAGCTGCCGTGGGTGGGGGTGCCGGGGCGAGGTGGGGGGTATCGGTCGGTTTGGGGCGAGAAATCGTGGGGTCGGGGGTCCCAAGAACAGAGTTGCCGTGGGTGGCGGTGCCGGAGCGAGATGGGGGGTGTCGCTCGGTTTGGGGCGAAAAATCGCAGGGTCGGGTGTCCCAAGAACAGAGCTGCCGTGGGGTCGGCGGATATGTCGAGTTGGGAGAAGGCCGAGGCATGGCAAAAAGTGAGTGCATACAAAAAGGTCTCACACGCCTCTGGGGTGCGGCGGATTTGTCGAGTAGGGGTATGTGCAAGGAGATGCCGATGCATGAGTGGGAAAAGGTAACCGTTTGCTGCCAAGGTCGCCCTCGCACACGGAGTCCCCGCACGCCTCTGGGGTGGGTGGGGATGCCGGGGCGTGGTGGGGGGCGAGGTGGGGTATCGGTCGGTTTGGGGTGAAAAATCGTGGGGTCGGGGGTCCCAAGATCAGAGCTGTCGTGTGTGGGGATGCCGGGGCGTAGTGGGGAGCGAGGTCGGGGGTGTCGGTCCGTTTTGGGGGAAAAATCGTGGGGGTGCCGGGGCGTGGTGGGGGGCGAGGTGGGGGGTATCGGCCGGTTTTGGGCGAAAAATCGCAGGGTTGGGGGTCCCAAGAACAGAGCTGCCGTGGGTGCGGGTGCCGGGGCGTGGTGGGGGGCGAAGGGGGGGGATATCGGTCGGTTTTGGGCGAAAAATCGTCGGGTCGGGGGTCCCAAGAACAGAGGTGCCGTGGGTGGGGATGCCGGGGCGTGGTGGGGGGCGAGGTTGGTTTTGGGCGAGAAAGCGTTGGTTTTGGGCGAGAAAGCGTGGGGTGGGGGGGGGTCCCAAGAAGAGAGGTACTGGGGGTGGGGATGCTCGGGCCAGGTGGGAGGTATCGGTCGGGGGATGGTATCGGTCGGTTTGGGGCGAGAAATCGTGGGGTGGCGGGTCCCAAGAAGAGAGGTTCTGGGATAGCGATGTCGGGGCCAGGTGGGGGGTATCGGTCGGGGCGAGTTGGGAGGGATCGGTCGGTTTTGGGCGAGAAAGGGCCAGGGAGGAAGCGTGAATGCACACAAAGATGTCCGAGACGCCTCTGGGGTCGGCGGATGTGTCGAATAGGGAGAAGGCCGAGGCATGAGAAGACGTGAATGAGCACAAAAATGTTCACACGCCTCTGGGGTCCGCGGATATGTCGAGTAGGGACAAGACCGAGGCATGTTAAGAAGTGACTGCACACAGAGAGGTCCCACACGCCTCGGGTGGTCGGCGGATTTGTCGAGTAGGGGTATGTACAACGATAGTCCAATGCATGAGTGGAAACAGGTAAACATTTGTTGCCAAGGTCGCCCTCGCACGCGGAGGCCGCACACGCCTCTGGGGTCGGCGGATTCACTGACTTCTGAAGGAAACGCACATATCTTGTTTAAGCACAAGCCCATTGAAAGTGTACGTTTGCTGCCAAGGTCGCCCGCCCACACTGATCCCGGACACGCCTCTGGGGTCGGCGGATTATGCTTATGATGTTGATGATGCTGATTATGTTGCTGCTGATGATGATGGCGATGATCTTTCGAGGATGACGATGATGATGACGCCGTTGATGATGAAGACCAGGATAAAGATGGGGATGATGATGATGATGACGATGATGACGATGGTGAGATGATGATGATGATGATGATGATGATGATGATGATGATGATGATGATGATGATGATGATGGTGAAGATGATGATGATGATGATGATGATGATTATGATGATATTGATGATGATAATGGTGCTGATGCTGCTGCTGATGATGGTGATGATGATGAGGATGGGTGGCGGTGGTGATGGTGTCGGTGGTGATGATGATTATGTTGCTGCTGATGATGATGCTGCTGCTGATGATGATGCTGATGATGATGCTGATGACGAGGATGACGATGACGATGATGATGCTAATGATGCTGATGATGATGAGGATGATGAGGATGATGAGGACGACGAGGATGATGAGGATGATGATAATGGTGATGATGATGATGCTGATGCTGCTGCTGATGATGATGATGATGTTGATGATGATGATGATGATGATGCTGATGATGATGATGATGATGGTGATGATGATGATGATGATGATGATGATGATGAGGTTGATGATGATGATGATGATGATGATGTGATGTGATGATGATGGACGATGCTGATGGATGATGATGATGATGATGATGCTGATGAATGATGATGAGATGAGATCAGATAGAAAAGGAGAGCAGGCGGAGGAGGAGGACGAGGAAAAAGGAGGAGGAACAGGTGGAGGAAGAGGGGAAGAGGAAAGAGGGAGGAAGGGGAGGAGGAGGAGGAGGAGGAGGAGGAGGAGGAGGGAGGAGGAGGAGGAGGAGGAGGAGGAGGAAGACAGGGAGGTGGAGAAAGGGGAGGAGGAGATCGCGGACGAGGAGGAGGAGGAGGAGGAGGAGGAGGAGGAGGAGGAATATTGGTAGCGGGACTTCCCAGTCTGCTCCACCGCAGGTCGTGGGCGGCGTCGCCTTCGCCGGCCTGCTCGGCGGGTGCGCCCCGCCCGGCGACGACTCTTTCTGTGCTGGTGCGCTGGTCGCTGTTCGGCAGTAGCTCACTCTTCGGGCTACGCGTTAGCGTAACCTTTCGCCGGAGTGACTTTGAGTGCGGGCCCACTCGGGTCCCCCGATCGCTGAACTCGATGCGATAGTAGCAGGTTGTTCGCTTGGATTCTGCTCCCTTCGCGGCCCCCCAAAGCCACCCGCCAACGGTCACTCTTGTCTTGCCCAGGGTCACCCTTTCGTGTAGCTGAACTCTTGGCCGCAGGCTGCCAGAAGGGTTCGTTGGACAAGCCGCCAGGGGGGAACCGGGTCCTGAGGGAAACTGGTCCTGAGGTCTGGGGCCCTCAACAGGCCAAGGGGCCGTCAGCAAACGACTCGAGCGGAAGGAGCTCGTCCTGGGGGAAGACCCCAGGGGTTCAGGGCCCGGTTCCCTCGGGACCCGTTTCCCATATGCAAAGCAGGGCTGGTTTCGCCAGACCCGAGGCCCCCCAGCCCGACCTGAGGCCCCCCCAGCATCGTCGTCGAAGTCACCTTTCTTGAGCCAGACCTTGTCGCCGCCTTGGTCGGCGGTTATAAGATGGGGCCCTGAGGACAGGAGAGGGATCCCAAGTTTAATCTTCGCAGAGAAGGGAAGCCCCTCGTCGCTACGGTCGAATTCGCCTCGAACCCTGGGCCAGGGCGCACCCCAGCAGGGACCCAGTGAGTATCGGTGTCGGTATCGTCTGTTCCCCCAGAGTCAAACCATTGGTCCTCAGGACCCCATCCTGCTTCTGAAGACGAACCCCCACCAATCTCGCCCTCAGCCTTTAACCAACACAGTGCTTGCACTGAGGGGCTCTTACGCACCTGTGCTGTAAGAGAGCGGATCTGTCCATCGCGCTGTCTGTTGGCCGCTTGCGTGCTTAGAGGTTCATCGGGTGCTTGTCGCACTGTCCGGTGGCCGCTTGGGTTCCCATGGATTCATACGGGTGGCTGCCGCAGTGTCCAGTGGCCACTGGGGTTTCTGAGGGACCTGGGTGTCAGGGCCCCATGTTTGAACTGTCGGGGCCGCCCGACGGCCCCCTTATAGAGAGCTTCCGATCGCTTCTGACCTGGCATCGCTCGGACGTGTGCGTTTTTTCTCGGCGAGGACTATCGGGGAGCATCCTGGATCATCTTGCGAGGCGTGAGCGCACGAAGCCGAAACTTCCGCGGGGAGCGGGCGCCCGAGCGGTGGCAAGCCGATGGCCTTCGCGGCAGGCGGGCGGGCGGGTCCCGACGGGCAGGGCGGCCGGAACCCCGCGGGCGGGCACCGGTTCCACGCCGCCTGGCCGAGCGAACCATCCAGGCGGTGTCCCACACGGGCTCCTCGGCCTGGTCCCCCTCAGGCACACTCTGGCACGCGAGGCGGCCGCCCAGCAAACCACGGCGTCGACGGCCTTCGCGAGCCGCCGAGGGTCCGAGGGTCTCCGAAGGCTTCCGGCAGCCCCCCGAGGGTCCCCCGAGGGCCTCCGAGCAGGCTTGCGAAGGGCAGGATCCCCCCTCTCCTCCAACTGCGCTTCTCCACTCATCCTGCCTTTTCCTACTTCTCCTCCCTCCTCCCTCCCTGTCTCTCATGCCTCCTCCTCCTCCTCCGCCTCCTCCTCCTCCGCCTCCTCGTCTCCGCCTCCTCCTCCTCCTCCTCCTCCTCCTCCTCCTCCTCCTCTTCCTCCTCCTCCCCCCCTCCTCCTCCTCCTCCTCCTCCTCCTCCTCCTCCTCCTCCTCCTCCTCCTCCTCCTCCTCCTCCTCCACCCCTCCTCCAACTCCTGCTCCTCGCAGCGTGGGTCCCCAGAGGCCGGGGCCACTTGCCCCGGGGCTTCCCGACACTGGCTGTCGGGTCATCACTCGGTTCCCTGGCGGCCGATCCAGGCGATCCCCAGGACGCTCCCCGTCGAGGCGCAGCTGCAGGAGGGCTGCACGAGGCTGGGAGATCTCTCCAAGAACCGGCGAAGACTCGGCAGCGAAAGGAGGAGGAGCAGGAGGACGAGGAGGACGACGAGGAGGACGACGAGGAGGAGGAAGAGCAGGATGATGATGCTGATGCTGATGATGATGCTGCTGCTGATGCTGATGTTGATGCTGATGATGATGACGATGACGATGACGATGACGATGATGCTGATGATGATGCTGCTGATGATGATGACGATGACGATGACGATGATGATGATGATGCTGCTGCTGCTGATGATGATGATGATGATGAGGAGGAGGAGGAGGAGGAGGAGGACGAGGACGAGGAGGAGGAGGAGGCGGAGAAGGAGGAGGAGGCGGAGGCGGAAGCGGAGTTGGAAGTGGAGGCGGAGGCGGAGGCGGAGGCTGAGGAGGAGGAGGAGGAGGTGGAGGAGGAGGAGGAGGAGGAGACTACTAATGTACACGTGTATGAATCCACGCTGGTTTCGAGTGTACGCATTGCGCGAGCATTCGTATCACGCGGCCGGTCTCGCGGATTGGGTGGCCGTGCTCATGCACGCGGGTGGGCGCGTACGTCCTTCGTGGGATCCCTGCATTCACTGTCCCTCCCTTGGCCGAGCATTCCCCCCGGCCATGCCCGCCCGCCCGCCTCGTGCCGCCGGCCCCCGCCTGCGCGGTCTGGCGCCGTCGGCTGGCCTCTCGTTCCCCTCCTCTCACACGGGGCCAGGATTAGGTCGGGCATGTCCCCGTACAGGCTGATTTTGAACGACGAAGAAAAATACGGAAAATCTGTTTTGAAAAACGAACAGTTGCGAAATGTGCAAAACATCGTCCCCAGACCTTTTCCTAAATAGCAAATGCTATTTTTGGATATTCCTCCTGTAGAGGGGCACGCCCGACCTGAGGCCAGGACGAGGCATCCTGGCGCGGCCGGCTCCCTCCGAGGCGGCCAGCCGTTCCAGAGCGCTCCCCGGCGCGCTCCCAGAGCGTCTGACGCAGCGCTCTGAGGAGACCGCGATGCCCGAGACGTCTTCCTCCTCCTCCTCTTCCTCGTTTCCCTCCTCCTCCTCCTCCACCTCCTCCTCCTCGTCCTCCTCCTCCTCCACCTCCTCTCCCTCCTCCTCCTGCTCCTCCTCCTCCTCCACCTCCTCCTCCTCTTTCTCCTCCTGCTCCTCCTCTTCCTCCTCCTCCTCCTCCTCCTTCTACCTCCCTTCCTCCGCCTCCTCCTCCTCCTCCTCCTCTTTCTCCTCCGCCTCCTCCTCCCCGAGACGTCCTCCAGAGTTAGGTCGGGCATGTCCCCCTACAGGCTGATTTTGCTAGAAAAATGAAAACTGGTCAAAATATCCAAAACAGTGGTCCCAAACAGAATGTTCCTCCTGCAGAGGGGCATGCCCGACTTGAGACTAGGGGAGCGACTAGGTCCGCGCGGATTTCTCGGATCCGCGCTGGACGCCCCTGGCGGCGCCTCGGGCGCCGCTTCCGGCGCGCCAAGGGGGAGGGCCCAGCGCCGATCCGAAAAATCCGCGCGGACCTCTGAGCTGTTCCATGCTTTTATGCCGTTCTTCGTTCCCCTCGAGACATCCTCCACAGCCGCGGGATCTGAGAATCTCGATTTGTTCTCGCCCGATTTTGTCCTCATCCTGGCTTCGTGTTTCCTTCTCCCGCCCCGCAGCCGCGCAGCACGCACGGACGGGAGAGAGAGAGCCCCCGGGGGGCCGCCGGGGGGCGCCGGGAGCCTCCGCGAGCAGCGCCGGAATGGCCCCTGAGAGCCGACGTCTCCAAACAGTCGAGGCACCGCGGACAAACATCGCGACTGGAGCCCCAGTCGGAAGCCAGGCAAGGGCTGCTAAATCCGTGGCTGCTAAGATCGGCCTCCGGGAAGTTGTCTTCGTCCTTCTGGGAAGAGGCCCGTTGACTGTTTCGCGTGCCGCGCCTCATTCTGGGAAGTTGTTTTTTCCTTCCGGGAGGGCCGTTTTAGCAGCCACGGTGTTAGCAGCCCTCGCCTAACTTCCCACCCAGGATCCCCATCTTCCTGCGCCACTTCTCTCGAGCCGCGTCGACCTGTATTACAGTCAACTCGCACGGTAAGGGTGGGTAACCTTGCCAAGGCTGCCCTTGCATCCTTGCCCCCTCGGCCCATCCTTCGCCACGCTCGCTGGCCGCGCCCCGCTCGAAGAGCTTCGATTTGGGCGTCCAAGGCCCTTGCATCCTTATCGCGCATCCTTACTACACGGGTCAAGGGCGCCCTCGAGGGCGCGAAGTTATTCGCGCTTCGCGCTTCGCGGTTCGGCTCCGATTCCTCCTCATCCTCCTCTGAGGCGGCGCGAGAGCAAGAAGTTATTCGCACTTCGCGCTTCGCGCAGCGCGAAGCGCGAAGTTGGGAGCCCTTGTAAGATTCGAGTGAGCCGGAACTCGGGTGAGCCGACGCCTCTGTTGACGAGCGGGAAGCGCGAAGTTGGTTGGGAGCATTTGGGGGTCCCGGGGCCCACAGCGAACGAAGACGATCAGCTCGACAACAAAAAAAACGGCGCCAGGCTCTCACGGCCAGCGCGTCTGGAGCCGTCCGCCTGCCTCTCCGCCCTCCTCTGCCCCAGACGTCCGGGCGCTCCCAGTTGTGCGTGCGGCCCCTGGGGCCAGACCTCTTCCCTGTAGGGTCAAGTCGGGCCTGTCCCTCTGCAGGAGGAATCTTCAACAATAGGCAAAGCATCGTCTGGCGACGATGTTTTGATTTAATCGCTTCGCTCATTCCGCCAGCCCTCGAGCGCTCTATGGGGCCTCTTTGAAGCCTCTTGGGGGCATCTTTGGGGCCTCCTACGGGCCTCTTGGGTGCCTCTTGGGGGTCTCTCGGGGCTCCTTGGCGGCGTCTTGGGGCCCCCTTGGGCCTCTGGGGGGGCTCTTGGGGACCTCTTGGGGCGGGGTAGTCGAGTGCACCCCCCTCGGAGGCCACAATCCTCGTGAGGGGTGTCGAAAAAAGGCCACCATCTCTGAGTAATAGCTCCCGGGCTTCAGGCGGGGTACTTTTCGCCGGGGGACCCCCAGGGGCCGCCCCGCGCGCGCGAACTAAAAAAGTTGTTAACCAGTTACCGGAGATCTTAGCACGCCTCTGGCCCGTTGGGCCGGCGAATTTTTTTGACTATGTTTGAACATTTTTCGGGGGTCTACCAAAATGCCCGACCTAACTATAGGGCCCGTTTTTCGTCCTGATCTGTTTTTTGACGCGGCGATGACCCCCGGAGGCCTAACATTCCGAGGCGGGAGGTTACCCATCACCTTGGCCTGGGGGATCGATCTTCTTGGACCTCCACAGGCGGTGGATATATGGATATATTCGGGCCCCCGGGGGCCAACATATGTCCATATCCACCGCCCGCTGATGCACCAGGACGTTCGGTTCCCAGGCGTTGGATCTGGACAAATCCCTGTCTCGCAAAAACGGCCCCAAACCCCTCCACTCCAGTTGTGTTCCGATCTGTTCGATGCGTGGGTGGGGGGCTCCCAGGGGCTGTTTTTTTTATCGTGAGTCCTTTTTTGGACGGTCCCGAGGCCCGGGGAGGGCCCCTGGAGGCCGAAAACGGCCCCCCAAACCCGCCGTTCCAGCTGCTTCCCAGCGTCGGACCTCTGGGTCCTTCGACACCGTATCCTGATATACTTCGTCCCTCTTCGACAGAAGCCCCTAGATGAGGCGACGCGAGGATGCTCGGGTCCATGCCTGTCCTAGAGCGCGTTCTGACCAGGACGTTCGGGGGGAGTGCAGCCGTGGTGACGCGGAGCCCCCCAGGGGCACAGGAAAGAGAAAAAGAGCGCCCACGGCCGCGCGACCCTCGCGCAGGAACCTTCCGTTGGCTCCCCCTCCTTCGACAGCCTCCTGCCGTCTCACAGGTGGCCGCCGCGGCTGCAGCAGCGGCCGGCAGAGGCCCCCATCGAGGGCCGCCGCGAGGGCAGCGCTCCGAGGGCCTCCGAGAGGAGCAGCGCCGCGGGCGGCCGGCCGGCGCCCCGGCAGGCTGCTCGGGGGCCTCCTGACCACGACCCAGGCGCCGAACGGCAGCCGCCCGGGAGCCGGGCGCCCGCGCCCCCCCCCCCCCCCTCCAGACCCCCTGGAGCGTCTTCCTCCTCCTCCTCCCCTCCTCCTCCTCCCCTCCTCCTCCTCCTTCTCCTCCTCCTTCTCCTCCTCCTCCTCTTCCTCCTCCTCCTCCTCCAGACCCCCTCGAGCAGTGAACAAGATCACGACGGGAGGTTTTTCCTAATTTTTGGCCTCCGGGGGCCCTCACCGGGCCTCGGGAGCGTCAACAAACCGACTCAGGACGAGAAGCCGGTCATGGGGAAAAGGTCGGAGGGTCGGGATCTCAGGGGTTCGACGTAATGACAAAATCATTACGTCGGGGGTCTGGGTACATGGGGTCGGAGTAGATGGGGTCGGAGGATAGCGCCGCATTGCCGATGCATCGCCGTCACGGCCCGATGTGGGCCCGATTTGCTTCACGTCGACGGCGCCGATGCATCGCCCACGTCGTCGATGTATCGCCGGTGCATCGCCGAGGCGTCGCCGATGCATCGGCGATGCGGTGCGATCCTCCGACCCCATCTACTCGGACCCCATCTAGGAGGCCCCCCCCCGGCGCTCCTCATACCCAGCTTTCCCTCGGGTCATGAAAGAATCACGGTGGCAGGTCCTTCGTCATTTTCTGCCTCCGGAGGCCCTCACTGCGGCAGCAGATCGTGGGAGCCTGGGTATGCCCTCTTCCTTCCGCCGTTAGCGTCGATGAGCGTCTGGGAGTCGACGAGGTAGCGCCGATTTAGCGTCGGTTAGCGTCGATTTAGCGTCGACTTAGCGTCGATGAGCGTCGATTTAGCGTCGATTACCGCCGATTCGCAGGAGCCGACAAGATGGTATGGGAGGCTTGCACGCGTTGCCACTGAACCTTCCCGGGCCTCGGGACCGTCGAAAACGACTCAGGACGAGAAGCCGGTCTCGGGAGACGGCGTCGACGCCGTGAGACATGAACAAGTCATGACGTCGGGGGTCTGGCAGTTCAGCAAGGGCGCCCTCGAGGGCGCGAAGCTCTTCGCGCTTCGCGGTTCGGCTCCGATTCCTCCGCATCCTCCTCTTCTCCCCTGGGAGGCGGCGCGAGAGCGCGAAGTTTTTCGCACTTCGCGCTTCGCGCAGCGCGAAGCGCGAAGTTGGGAGCGCTTGCTTCAGGGGCAACGGTGGTGGGGGGACAGGCGCCGGCGGGGATGCATCGACCCCCGATCGCCCATGGATCGCCGAGAGGGGCCCCCCGATGGGGCCAGCCTGCACAGGAGCGTGCGGATGCACCATTGCCGGGGCCCCATCGCCGACCTCTGTCGGCGACGTATCTTTGTGGCCGATGCCAGGCCGACGTGTCCCTCCCTGTGCCAGTCCTCCCCTTCCCTTCAGTCGGGCCTGTCCCTCTGCAGGAGGAATGTTCAAACATGGAAAAAATATCCCAGTGCGACCCTGCCTAGGAGTTGGAGCATCTAGGACAGCAACATCTACATCTACACCGACAGCTACATTAACATCTACACCTGCATCTACATCTACATCAACATCAACAGCGAGACTCACATCTACATCTACACCTACATCTACACCTACACCTACATCTACATCTACACTACACCTACATCTACATCTACACTTTCGCATTGGTTTTGTTTTTGCTTTTGCATTGCCTTGCCTTTGCATTGCCTTGCTTTTGCTTTCGCTTTGGTCACGGAAGGCACTGCTTGCGGGGCTCCGGTCCGGCCGTCGAGGCTAGCTCGGCATCTGTTTTTGCTTTGCCTTTCCTTGCTTTGCTTTTGCTTTTGCTTTGCTTTGCTTTGCGTTGCTTGTGCTTTGCTTTGCTGTCGCTGCTGTTGCTTTGCCTTTGCTTTGCTGCTGTGCTATGCTCTGCTATGCTATGCTATGCTATGCTATGCTATGCTGCGCGGTGCTATGCTGTGCTGTGCTGCGCCATGCTGTGCTATGGTATGCAATGCTGCGCCATGCTATGATATGCTGTGCTGCGCTATGCTGTGCTACGCTCTGCTATGCTATGCTGTGCTCTGCTATGCTAAAGCTCGGCGAAGTTAAGATGAAGGTCAGCTAAGCTAATACAAATCTGAGCTAAGATGAAACTAAGCTAGGCTAAGATGAAATAAGTCAAGCTAAGATGATATAAGCAACGCTAAGCTAAGGGGACGTAACTGGGGGAACCACGGGACGGATGCCGGGGGAACCGCCCGGGGCGATTTCCACTGCCCGGCCCTCCAAGAGAACACAGTAAGAACCCTTCTAGGCAGAGCCTAGGTAGGGAAATAGCCTGGGGTCGATTTCTTGACGATCTTTGACTATTGTGGGGTATTTTTTTTGAGTGCCTTTAATTCGTCGCCCAGGATCTGCCTGTAGGGGGACACGCCCGACCTAACCCTACACCCAGTGCTCCCTACCTCGGCACGAGCGAAATTTGTACGGAGGGAAGGGGTACGATGCCTGATAGCAGTTCTTGTTCATTTTGAGCAGGGCTCGCTGTTTGCGCCGCCGCGGACGCTGTCCCTTTGAGTCAGAAGACTGCCTGCCCGACAGCGGCCGCCGTCGATTCTGGGCAGCAGTTGTTGTTGGGCACCGTACCCATTTTTGTCCGTACCCATGTCGGGCGTCCGAGTCATCCGCGGGCGGCTCGTTGTACACCGTGCCGCCTTGGCGCCTCCCGAGGCGTCGTCGCTCCTCGGCCCAGGAATGCTGCGGTGCAGAGTCCCCAGACCCCCGCGAGTAATGAAATAATCATCACGGAAGGTTTTTCTTCATTTTTGGCCTCCGGGGGCCCTGACCGGGCCTCGGGAGCGCCAAACAACGACTCAGGATGCAAAGCCGGTCATGGGGAAAGGGTCGGGACCTCTGAGGGTCGACGTGAGGACAAAAGCATTACGTCGGGGGTCTGGGTCTCTCGGCCCCCGGAGCCAGAGCCAAGCTGTGCACCCTGCCGCGCTGGAGCGGGGCCGGCACGGGGCCCAGGGAGTGTCGGGCGATCGCAAGCATGGATAAGGGGGGCGTGGATCAGCGACGGGTCCCGTTCCTCCTCCTCTTGCTCCTCCTCCTTCTTCTCCTCCTCCTCCTTCTCCTCCTCCTCCTCCTCCTCTCCTCCTCCTCCTCCTCGTCCTGCGGCGGTGGCCCCGGGGCTCCCGAGTCCGCGGGGAGCCCGGGGCCTTTCGGCGAGCGCGGCACGCGCGGCCGCCGCGCCGCGTGCCGCCGCGCGCCGCCGCCGGGCGCGCCGCCGCCGGGCGCCGCGCAGCCGCCGCCGCCGCCGCCGGGGCGCCGCGCCGCGCGGCGCCGGGCGCCGCCGCGGGCCGCGGGCCAGGTGGTTGTGACGTAGGAGGTCTGAATCCTCCCCCACCTGGCCCAATGCGCGCCCGTTGCGGCCGCAGCGTCCGCGGGGTGGGGTGCAGCTCCAGCAGCCGCGGCGGCGCCGGGGGGCCGGGCCGCGGGTCGCGCCTGGTCAGCGGTCAGCAGCCAGGGCACCCAGAGGCTCCGATCCTACAATTCCTGCTATGTTCCCGCCAAAGATAGGATGGAAAGCTGGATCTGCTATATGATGTCGGGACCGGAATACATAGTCAGATTCCTGCTATGTCGTGTCCAAAAGAAGCGTGTTCCGGAATACTTTATTCGGGAACTATATATAATACATATATATATACACATACACTCATATATATATATGTATATATACACATATATATATAGATGTACATATACATATATATATATATATATATATATATATATATTGCATACATACAAGTATATATGTATATACATATTTACATATATATTTATACATATATGTATAATATGCAAATGTATGTTTATATATGCATAAATATACAGGTGTGTAAATGTATATGTCTATGTAATCACAGTACGCACAACTAAACACACATACACATATACATACGCATACAAGTATATAGCTAATTGGAATGAGACAGACACAATTAGATACATAAATGTATATGTTTACACATATGTATATGATACATATGTCGGTGGCTGTCGGTGTTCGCCCTCCTCGCCGCCGCGCCTCCCGAACAGGGCGCGGGAAGGGGGTGGGCGCATTTTGCGCCGCCCGCGCCATGGCCGCCGCCAGCGCCAATGGCGACTGGAGGCGCGCCCGCGGCAAGGGGGGAGGGATGTGATGATGATGATGATGATGAGGAGGAGGAGGAGGAGGAGGAGCAGGAAGGATAAGCAGGAGGATACGTAGGAGGAGCAGGAGGAGTAGGATTTGGAAGAGGATGGGAGTGATGAAGGGATTGGATGGCGAGGAGAATGATGAAACTACTGACCAGGGACTGAGTGACAGAAAAATCTGTCGTTTGACAGATTTTTCTGTCATTTGCATGGGTGCGTGACGCGGGATGTAGGGGGCAACAGGGGGGATGGGGAAGATTATGGTGATGGTGGTGACGGTGATGATGAAAATGACGACGCCGATGATGCTGACAATGTTGATGACGACGATGGTGGTGGTGGTGATGATGCTGATGATGCCGATGATGATGATGATGATGATGATGATGATGATGAGTATGATGATGATGATGATGATGATGATGATGATGGCGATGATGTTGATGATGATGATGATGATGCTGTTGGCGATGATGACGGCGATGGCGTTGGTGATGGTGATCGTGATGATGATGGTGAGTCGGTGCACTCCTTCACATCCCTTTCCCCCGTGCTCGCTCCCCCTCCCTCGCCCGCTCCCACATCTAGCATGTCGTCCGCCCGTTCCCCTCAGCCCTACACCATCCCAAGCATCACCACAATCACCACCATCGCCGTCAATGCCATCATGTGCTCGCCATCGTCAGCATCGATTGGATCATCAATAGCATCAACATGGTGTAGTATATCCTGCTGCCCTCACGGGTCAACGTGTTGTCCACGTGTTGGTCACGCACCAGCATTGTCATCATCACCATCGTCGCCGCCATCAGCATCAGCATCGTGCAGCATCATCGTCGTCGCGATCGGCATCAGCATCCTC